TGTGCCTCAGGGGTCAGTCAATACTCGGACCAACTCTCTTCTTACTCTACATAAATGACTTGGCCAGAATGAATATTTCAGGAAAATTAACGCTGTTTGCGGACGATACGAGTATACTCTGGAATAATAAAGATCCGGAAACACTTTTTGAAATGATCAGGGATGATACGTATGAAGTGAAAAGATGGTGCGCCTCAAACCAGTCATCCATGAATATGGCAAAAACTAATATTATGTCTTTCAAAGGTGAATTAGATGAGTTTGTCATGAGTGGGAATATTATAGGAAGAGCTGAAAGGAGGTACCTATTCTATATGAAAAAACTTTTTTCAGAGTGTCATGTAAAATCATTGTATATTTTTTTCGTCTACCTTCCAGTTATCGTCTTATTACTCGGGACTCGCCCTGTATAATATTGACTTTTTTCCACAATAGTAAAAACAGCTCGACCTTTAAAATCCAAGTTTATTGAGGTGCGTTCTTCTTTAATTCGACAGGAGCTAGGAGGTCGACCGGATCTGCCGAAGTTTACGGTACTTTCGCAAAAAACATATATTATAAATAATTGACACGACATTGAATACGAATAAATGGGAAAAAAGGTAACTCTCATCGGGAACAATACAATGGTCTGAGAAAATTCACGGGAACTTTCGCCCTTCTCGAGTTATATGCCAATTTATAGCTGGTTTCCCTAATGTGTTTTTCGAAATCTTAGTTTTGGTCGATGTATACGCCGAGAAATTTCGTGTATCCTGCTAGTGTTATTACCTATCTGTGTTTGTGCCAAATCAATTATGAAAAATATGAATAACAAAGGGCCCACGATACTAACCTGAGGGACACCTACTACTCAATTTCCTCTGAGTAATATTTAATTCCCTGGCAATTTATAACTACTTTTTGTTTATGTTGTGTCAAATAAGACTTTATTCAGTCATCAGCTTGTCCTTTGATACCATATCTCTCCCTCTTTTCTAACAGAATTTCATGATCCAGACTGTCGAATGATTTTGACAGGTCTAGAAAGATACCCATTGATATATTTTTATTCTCATATACTACATTTTTCTATGAACTCATATATGGCAGTTGTTTTTCGTTTTTTGCGAATGGAACTGTTATTGAAACAATTCGTGGACACAACACTCCAAAAAGGTGGGCAAACCGCGGACACGTGTTTCTGGCTATTGACCTCATCAGCGCGGTACAGCCAAGTGTAAAGATGGGCAACATTTGTTTATCGAAAGCAGGAAACAACACAAACGCACGGAGTCAACAACAGGAGCCAACCGCACATTTGTGGTTCCAGTTTGAAGACCTAGAATTCCCAGGCTACATCTAACGTGACCACGTAGGCAGCTATAGCTACCTGCGTGACATCCGGTTCCAGGATGTGAATACAAATAGAGATTTTATCGAGTATACATGATACAAATCGAAAATATATCCAAATATACCCCTTTTTGGAGTGTTGTGTGCACGAATTGTTTCATTCTTTTGTTTGTGAAAATGAATAAATTTTGCTGAGGTTGTCGATGTCTGTCTTTTTTGTTGATATTGTTTTCTTCAATTTTTATATCAGCCATCTCCATCTCGAATCTGGTTCGAAATGGAAAATTTTGGTGTTAGTATAATCGACTGAATGATCATTATCTAGAACATGTTGTATTAGAGCACAAGAATTTTGTTTTAAATTTTTACAATTACTTTCATGAAGAGCTATGAGGGTTTTTAAATTGTTTTCTGTTTGTTCTACATATATATGTTATCACATTTGTTGCAGGGATTTTCGTAAACTTCATCTTTCAATTTTGAATGTAGTTTAATTAAGGGTTCAACTTTCTTTTGTGAAATTTTTATATTCTGTTCTTGTTTGAATACGTTTATGGTTTTGCTGGACAGTTCAGGGATATAAGGAATGGAAGAGTATTTCTCCCTTAGTGAAAGAGTTTCTTTGAATTTCCAAAATTTAAATAGGATTGTCCCCAGTTATTAACTGTATACTTCATACAGAGCTCCCATTCTAGATGAATATCAATAACTATACCCAAATATTTCACTTTGTGTTCTTATGGTATATGAAAAGGTATATCAACTGCGATTGTTATGGGATCGAATAGAGGCATTACGAAGAGTTACAACAGAACGGAAGGTAACATGTTTCATCAACATTGACAGTTAATAACTTTTTATCCCACCACTGTTTTATAAGAGGAAATTCCGTTTTAACGGTAATTTTCGAAGAATTCCAGTTATCAGCTTCATAAGAGATGGCTGTGTCATCTGCAAAGCTAAATATACTACACTTATTATTTGATGAGAAAATTTCGTTTTTATATACTTACATTGAATAAAATTGGTCCCGGCACAGCCTTGAGGTACTCCATAGCCGATCTCCATTTCTCTACTCAATACGTCACCAATTCCAACTTTTTCTCGACAAATAACTTTCAACAATTTACCCAGCATTCCAATGTCCTCTAGAGACTGTGAGAGAAAATGATGACTGACAGTGTCAGAAGCTTTCGATAAGTCTATGAATATGCACAGAGATGGTTTACTTTCATTTAAAACATCGGCAACTTTCGATGTCAATGATAGAACAGCATCTTGACTTGATAAGTTTTTTCTAAATCCCAATTGTCTTTTCGATATTATTTTATATATTTATTGAGATACGAAACAAGCCTCTATCTAATAATCATTTCAAATATTTCTGATAAATAGGTTACTAAGGATATAGGACGATAATTTGCAATATAATCGATGTGAGCCCCTTTTTCAAGAGTATAATGATCGATTTTTGAATTCAGTAGGATATACTTCTTCTTCGATACACCGATTGAGGATATGGGTTAGAGGACTTGCAATGTAGTTTTATAGTTTCTGATTTAAATCACACCCTTTTGCCTTGAGATTATTCTTGAGCTGTAGTGATGTATTTTTTATTTCCCTTGATATAAGTGTATTATTATATTACGGGTGAAGAAAATAGCTATTTATGATATGAGTGTTGAAAGTAAGGTTATATTTTGTGAGTGAAAAAGTTTGCGAAACGAGCGTAGCGAGTTGAGCAATTATCATACAAAATTTTTTGTACAACTGTCCTGTTTTCATAATGAAATAGATGAATTTAATATTTCTATAAAAACACATTTTGACATNGGATTTAACACGGTTATAGAACACATTTTCGGATTTCAGATTTTTAATCGAAGATGGCAGTTTATTATACAGGATGATCCCATTATATAGGGGTGTTATTTGGAATTTAGCTGTTCTGTGGAGGAGTATTCTCAATGAGCCTTTTTCCTGAGAATAGTACAACGAACGTGTCACGAGAGGCAGCACTAGTAGTAGGGACAAACATAAACTTCACATATAAAACTGTGTTATTTACGTAATATCAATTAATTATTCAAAAATATAAATCTGTTTAAAAAAAATATTTTGTGCTAGTATAATGTCAACAAAGCATTGCTGTTTTGCGAATTGTACGTCGGATAATCGATATCCGGAAGAAAACGTGTTTTTTATACCATTTATAAAACCTCATATTAATGAGGTTAGATGTAAGAAATGGATACATGCTTCGAGGAGAGTGGATTTAACAGTGCAAAAAATAAATAAATATTCATATGTATGCTCTAAACATGAAATGAATAGTAAACTTTTCATAGTTAATTACCATTGATTAAAATGAGATATATCCTCAATCATTTATTAAACTATATTCATTTATTATATTTAATTAAATTTATTTCATTACCATCTATATTTGATTCATATTTCACTCGGATATAAATCTGAAATTCATAATTATTTTAAATTTCTTTTATTACAGAATCTACCGCTACTCTTTTACTAGAGTTTGTATACTAACCTGTCTATTAATTCACTTTTTTTCCCGTTGCTTTGTTATCCTTCACAGTTGCAAATTATAGTTTTGCTCCAGGAACATCTTCTTGTGTTAAAAACTTTCTTTTTTATATGTACTTTACCATATGTTTATATGAGGATTAGACAGTGTTTGTCCCTACCGAACTACTAGCGGTGCTAGTGAGTGATTTTTCGTACTTCAAGAAAAATATTCATTACTTTTGCTCAGTTGTTAATTGACATATAAACCGGAAAATTTTGTGGAATACTCAGGAAATGATTTCTAATAAACACTGGTTTACAACTTTCACGATATTCCATGTCAAAAATTAGTCTCAGAATACGTTTCTGTCCTATAAATACCCTGTTGAAATCTGAACCGCACCCCCAAGACATGATGTTCAAGGAAATATGTGAAAAAGCCATTGCATAATAGATGCTAATCAGACTTTTCTGATCTATACAGTTTTTTATCTGCTTCATGGCAAAACATGCTTTATTGAGTTTCTTGCAGACACCATCAATATGAGAGTTCCAGTTCAAGGCTTCATCCACAATTGTTCCTAAAAATTTTACTTCTTGTGACATATCTATTTCATCAATAGAGAACATTATATCTTGAATATTATTATTTCTGTTATGAAATTTCTTTATCACTGATTTTGAGGTGTTCAAGACTAGTCGGTTGCGTTCACATCAAGACGTGAATTCATCGATAATGTTACTAATTTTGGTTACCACGTCGTGCATAGTATGTTTAGTGACTGTAACAGTGGTGTCATACTTTCAACACTGTGTTAAAAATATTTTTAACACGCTACTTTGTAAACATCATCTTTTAATACTTGTAACAAAAGCAATGATATTCACCACGAAATATAAACACAGTTCTCTAGATATCAACGGTATAAACCTCAATATCAATAACGAAAAAATTGAAGTTGTTTCATCAGTTAAATACCTTGGTTTTCAACTGGATAATTTCAAACCTGAAACCGGTCGTATAAATAAAATCTACTAGTAGTATTTAGACAAGAGTGTTTCTATTCATTTCATTCAACTAGTGTTAAGTGCTTGGAGGCTGATTTGTTGATATATAATACTGTATATTTTTTCTTTCAGATGAACGTCTTTTGGAGTATGATATTGATAAAATTCTTTTCGAGCAAAATTCTCCATATCAAAAGGTGCAAATCGTACATTCTAAGACTCTGGGAAATATGCTTGTGTTAGATGATTTACAAAGTAAGTTTAGAAACATTCCTCATATCTTTTTTTGAAATTGGCAAAACTGAAAAACTAGGATGTTGAAAAAGTATGAAAAGTAACAATTGGATACTCAAAGAAACTGTCATATAACAACAGACTGATATTTTCGAATTAATTCTGATATTTTTTTCAACTTTTCCATTATATTTCGATAATTCACCCCAATTGGCATAATATACTATATTATTACAGCAGAGTCCATCAATTTATCTTTTTAATTTTTAGTTTTCAAATTTGATTAAATAACCAAAATTAATGAAAGTCAGATAATGAATCTGTCAATTCAATATTATAAAGTATTTCTTCCAACTGATGTTATCAGTAACAGCTTCCCAAAAGTAATGGATAAATTCTATAAAGTCCTTGACAGAAATATATTGTAAAATGATCCATGTCGATACTGATTTCAAAAAATTGAATGTCAAAGTACCTCTTATGTTAACTCAGTCAAAAATATGAAAAATGAAATCGCTTCTTTATCAGTCCAATATGGTGAACTCCCAAAAATGTTTTTATTCACCTCCGTGATATGTAGTTATAGCAAATGAAAAAGTTCAAGGAAAAACAAATTTGGTATGGTGGACAAAAGATGGCCAACAGTTATAACTCGCGAATAGTTATAACTCGTCAAAGGTTGGGGATAGTTTGGTGGTGCTCGAACAAATAGTGAAGGGACCGACAAGGGTTAACTGCTGGTAAAAAAAATTTTACAAGAAGGCCGATTTGAGATGGAAATCCGCTATCTAGTTAGGATTAACGCTCTTTGCTACTTGACAAGTGTACGTAGCCTCAAGAGTTAAATCACTGAAAGTTCTCTTTATTGATAAACTAAACTGTACTGAATTAATAGACAAAAAACCATGCAGCAATGAAGCATTGAATGAAATGAACCGACTAGAGAACTCGTTCAGTAGGTAATAACCAAAGAATAAATCAATATTTAACAACATTTTCGAAAGTAAGTTCTTATCTATATGTTCGAAAAAGAAAAGAATAAACTTCAATTCAGGTCAAAACCATCAAATTATAGATAATCAAGACCGTAATTCGTAAATTGATCTTCATGTGAGAAAACAATTGTATGTTTTTTTAAATAGGTATATCCCTCGACATATAACACACAATATATACATATAACAATCAATCCATACAGACACAACTGTCAATAAACATTCTAATCATCTTCATTGATAAAAATTAACAGCCCACCATGTCATGATCTACAGACTCATCAGTATCCCGATGTCCACAGGGAATTTTTATAAGGAATCAAATGTGATAAAACAAATTGCAGAAAATACAAACTTCAACTTCATGATTCATCACATCCTTGACAAAAAACTTTTCAAACAGATCATTAACCAAGTATAGGTTAGGTTAGGCCCAAAGTAAATGGGTCTATTCGACCCTCCACCGCAACCCGCAAGAGTTTATTGGGGCTCACACTTATTCACACTAGACCAATCGGCTTTTTAACGAAGCCGATTAGTTTGTATGGTGAGTGATTTTTCAGGACAGATGGTAAGAGTACGGCTCTGCCGAACTGTAAACACCTGATTCGGTCCCCATCGGGGCAGGCACAAAGTATGTGCTCTGCTGTTCTATCATTTTGCAAACAGAGGCGACACACATTGTCCTCCGATAGTTCGAGTCTCTGCATATGATGAGTCAAATGACAGTGACGTGTAAGAAGGCTTGTTAGACATCGTAGTTCATCTCAAGTAGTCCAACAACTGTTTGGTATCAAGCTTCGAAGGGTGAATTAACGCCTTGGAGTGAGCCAATCTTGGAAGATTCTGCCAGAAGTGCATGAATCTTCTTGCCATCCAGGTGTTCAATCTTTGTTTGTCAAAGCGTAAAGCGATGCCAATGACAGGCAGGTTGATATCTCTGTCCTGGGTCTGCGACAGAAAACACCTGCACCAGAACTGGAAAGGTGTTTTTGATCCATCTGTGAACCAACAACTATCTGCTCTCAATATTTCCTATTCCAACAGCCTGTTGCACTCTGCGTTAAGTTGATTTGTGCAATTGGCAATGTGCACCATGTCTTTATGCAGTCCATCTAGCTTCTCTCTCAAGAAAAATGTGGAGAGGAGATAGATCTAGAAAGATCTCCATGGCCGCTGACGGTGTGGTACTGATGGCACCACTGATGGCCAGACTTGCCTCTCTGTGTAAGCCAGAAAGCTTCGCCTGGGCCGTTTTCAGTAAAGCTTTAGGCCACAAGGCAATTGCACCATAAGTGAACATTGTTATGAAAATCATCACATAAATCCAATGGATTTGTTTGGGACCCAAACCCCAAGTTTTACGACAAATCCTGCGACATGTCTATGGGGACAGTCTGGCTTTGTGTGAAACTTTTTCCAATTAGGCGTTCCAGGTGAGTTTTTTATCAAGGACAATGCCAAGATATTTCACCTCCGTTCCAAATGGAATGACTTCACCATTGAGGGAAAGTGGCGTTAGATCGTCCAATTTTCTCCTCCTGGTGAAGGGGATTATCCAAGTTTTGCTGGGGTTAACAGACATCTGCTCCCTCAAGTATAACCGCACATTTAAAGTAACACTAACACCTACAAATCACATATACTGGAAAATCATCAGATAAAATGAAAAAACTACCATCAAAAGAGAACATCAACATAATGTATAAGACTGGTAACTCCTTGGATACACATAAAAAGATCAACAATTCAAAAATGGACAAAGATAACAAATCATGCCAAAAAGTTTATGTAGGAAGGAATGATTGAAAAAAACCTTTCTGGTGTATTCAGTGTAGGGAATTTATCAGTCGTATTACCAAAAGAGTTACTTTTCAAAATTTTGAAATGAGGGTTTTCACCCTTCAGGATGGAGGGGTGGAAAGTTAAAAATTATGTGTCCAAATGGCTGTTCAATAAAAATCAGCTGTATTTGGTACTGTCAATAAGTGCCCGGCTCACAACCCCGGGGACCGAAGTCGGACGCAATTCCGACTTGTTATACTCTTGCGAGAATTGATCTAGGTGAAGGTATGTTGGTATGTTAATTGGGAACTGATAGACTGGAAATAGTGATGATGATCTAGAACAAGAAATCAATTGGCATGGTAGTGGAAGTCATTAACACCAAAGAAAAAAAATCGACCCCTCCCATCATTGACAAAATGGTTCAGACTTTCGCGGCTGAGGTTTTCAGTGTCACTGTTTTTCGAGTTTGAAAGCCGAGTTTGGAATTTCTTCCTGACGTTTCGCTGGCGCGAGTGGCCAGCTTCTTCAGAAGTTTAACCATCATGGCTTGCTCTCTGATGACTAACTTTTAGGTTGCAGGAACTGCAGACTAGGCCAAGCGAACAAGTCAGCTGTGGCAGAACACGCGCCTAATGACGGAGACCACATAATTTTGTTTGAAAAAACACATAACTAATTGACCCCAACCAGGGGTACTATAGCCGACTGGTACGGGAGGCAATAGATATCCACAAACACACGGAGAATTTTAACAGAAGAGAAGAAGCGGTGAACCTCAGTCGAATATGGAACCCCATTTTAAGGAATTCGAGAATAACGAACAGAATGACAACAGGCAACAAGGTTGTTAATGTTCCAGGTTCACGTATAGATACAAGTCGAAAAAACGTTCAACATTGCCTTGCATTTTGATTCTGGGCGATTCAGGCGTCTTCCAATGCATCGATTGCCGCTTTGTTTTAACATCGTATTGAAAAATTCACGTTTCGTCGCAACTAATAATGTTTTTCATCAGTCCGGGATCTTGTTCTAACCTTTCTAGGAAATCTAAGCAGACCTGTTGACGAAAGAGCTTTTGGTCAGTAGTCAGGTTTTTTGGCACCAACTTCGCACAGACTTTTGTCATGTGTAATTCCTCATGTAAAATGTTTCTAACCTTTTCATTATTGGCGTTTACAGCGTCGGCAATCATCCGGATGCTCATTCGACGATCTGCACGCACAATTTGGTTGATTTTGGTCACTGTCTCTGGAGTTGAAACATTTACAGGGCGACCTGGGCGCTGGTCATCTTCAGTGCTCTCTCGGCCCTCACTGAAGCGCTTACACCACTCAAAACACGCGGACAAGATAAAGAATTGTCCCCCTAGGCCTCTTGCATCAGTCGGAGTTTTTTTCAATTCAACGTTGCTTCTGTTTTTCGATACACATGTTTTTCGGCACGAGAAAAAAACACGTTCGTTTCAAACCGCTACTACACAAATACTATAATAGTGACGAAAACTTGTTTTGGTACGTGAATATAGAAGATTTCCAGATACCCAACGCACTACTCGATTTTTCCCACCCTTATAGGGCGCCCTCTATGCGCGCGAGTCTCGTTATTTAATAGCCGTATACAAATATAGTAAATAACACATTAATGGTTCAATTAAATCAAAATTAAAAATCAATAACTTGTATATTTCAGGATATGAGAATAAATCATTTTCACGGTGTTCGAGTATAATAAATTGGATATTCTATATAAAGTGAATCAAATATATCAAGCTGTCAATTATTTGGATTATACTATCTGTAGGAGTATAAGAAATCTCAAAAATTTCAAAAAGATCTACGCCCCACAATTTTTTTACATACAAGAATAATTCGAAAGTACTTTGTGAATAATCAGTTAGGAAAGACTGTGCAAATTCAACATTCAATATTTCAATATCCTCAAAAAGAGCAAACAAAGAAAAATGGTTTTCCTTCAACTTCTTTTCACAACTGGCTGATAATTTTTTATTTTTCAGTACAATTTCAAACAGGTACAATTTATTTGAAAAAACAATTCTCCTTAAGAAATATTTAGACATACTCATATCTTTCATCACTACTTTTTTTAGAATTAGGAAAGTGAATTGTGGAAGTTTCAAGCCTTTACGAATAATAATCATGGCGTTTGCTAAAGCTGTGAGCTACATATGAAGTAAGTGTTTATCGAATAAAAACATTTTGAATCTCACTTTCAATATCCATTCGATATTTGTCATTATGAAATTTTGATACAAATCAGTGAAACTGTTATGGAATAAAACACATACTATCAATGATCAGGCCAAACTTATATACTATAGATGACTTCAAAGAACTCTGAATCACTGATCCACATATTCAAATGAATATATCTCTGCCAAACATTATGCCTGAGTTATAATTTTGATATTACATTTGTATAATTTAGAATGATTGATGTAAGTTTCTTCAATTTGTTATTGTTAAAACATTGGAATTATTGAAAACTGTTCTAGAAAAAACAACCTTTGATAGAATCTAAGATAGTCGATACCATTCCTTCTGTTTTTCCAACTTGAAAATGCTCAATTAGGTACACTTTTCGAACTTTCATTTCACTTTAGTCTCTACATTTCAAAATTTCAGATATTTCCGAAGCGGATTTGATTTATACTGAGACTCTGATGGCAAGAGGGATCGAAGACTACAAAGACAAAGAAATATTAATATTAGGTGAGTTCTTAAATGCTTACCTGTGATGGTATGACTTATAAACTTTATAACAAAAACTACTATATTTGGGTTGATAAGAAGAAAGCAACTACAGTTCGTAGGTTTCCTCAAATATGTAATTGTTATACTACTCTATTCAAAAAATAAGGTGAACTTTAATTTTTCTCGAAACATTAATTTATTCATTAATTTCCATTGTGTCCCCTTCAAAGTATTCCCCCTCAGATAAAATACACTTGTATTATATCACATATTACACTGTAGATTTTGAAAGTGTCATGTCTAATTGCACACCTAGATTATACTCTAAATTTATGCTACTCTTAAATTTCTTGTCGACATCTCCAAGCTTCAAATGTCATATTTCACTTGTCATACACCCTTCTGATCCGACTCCCATCATACAGTCGGACGAGTGTCCGACTCCCATCATACAGTCGGACGAGTGTCTGAGAGGGAAATGGTACTTTAGTCCGAATAGAGTAGTTCACATCGGTCCGATACGTAGCCAACCGCGCTCCCATCCGACTCCGATCCTGCATTCGATCACGATCCCATAGTGCAGCCTATTCATTCTCCAGCTGCGGGACGGGTATCGCTTGGAGTTTGTATGATATTTGAGTCTTGTTTTCTTCAAATTAAATTTAAAAAATGTTATTAAAACCGTCAGAAAATATCCAGTTCTATATGACCATACTTAAGAGCTGTACCGCTGTTCTCTATGAGAGCTCTCCGATTTTCCTCATCTTCTTCCAAACAGAGTGCCCTAATGGCTAAATCGCAGTTGCTAAAATTCTTCAACATTTTGCTTAGAGGACACTGGCGAGAGTAGCAAGTGTATCAAACCGGAGTGGTAAATCGGAGAAAGAAGTCGGAAGCATGTATGACACTGCACTCCTGCACACTAGCGATCCTGCACCGGGCCGCTTTTGGAGCAAAATCAAACCGGAGTCGGATCGGAGAGGTATATGAAGAAGTGTTTCCCGGCCTTTAAGGGGTGTTGATCGTTGTGAGCGCTTAAAACTTGTCGCCCACTTGTCCAGCTACAACCAGCATACTGAAGGTGCTGTTTGTTCGATTTCAAGGGAATTTCAGTTGACATCGAGCGGTGACAGAAACGTGTCTATCACTAGCAGTTCTGACGAAGAAGTCATCATTAAAGTGGCCGCATTATTGAATATAGAAGAAAATAGTCTCAAAAAAGAAGGATGTGGGTCCATCCCATTAATCAAAAGAGGGTAAATCTGGAAAAATGTCATCATCTTTTCAACGACCTGAAAGAAGACGAGGAGAAATTTTTCCAGTATTTCTGGAACGATTTCTTCTACTACTTCTGGCAATATTTTCAGAACTTCTGGATATTCTAGAGCCTGTCTTAACAAGCATCTCAATTTTTCTCGTTAATTTTCATAGGTACACACCGTGCTTTCAACTGATGGAATAGCAAGCTGGCAAGCGCTGGCCGACAATGCGCTCACTTGGCCAGTCCGTCACAGCACGTAAGTACCGTTATTTGCCGGACAGGATCGGAGATCTGTAATCCTTTCCGGCGGCGGGCGCTCTTGGCTGTGCCGAGCCGGGCTAGTGGGCGGTTCTTCATTCTTTCTCATCGTTCCAATCCTATACATATTTTGACGGGACGGGCCGTACTGTGCTATGCCGGACAAGTAAGCCACAAGCTTAATGGAACGCACAAATCGTGATGCAAAAGCCATGAATTGTTTTTCCATAAAACCTTTTTTCGGAGGTTTCTATCGTATTGCTCCTCGCAAGCTGCGCATAACTTCAAGATAATATTTCCTATTGACCGTGTGTTCATGTAGCAGGAACTCCTGATGCGATATGCCACGGTCATCGAAGAAAACAGTGAGCAAAACCTTGGCATTTCATCGAACTTGGCCTTGGCCTTGGTCTTGCTTCTTCTGCACTCTTCCATTGGAACGATTGGACTTTGGTTTAGGTGTCATAACCATATACCCATGATTCGTCACCAGTTATGACCCTTTTGAGCAAATCTGGATCATCGTTGACGTCAGGCAACAATTCCTGAGCAGAGCTCATCTGACGGTTGTTTTGGTCAAAATTCAGCAATTTTGGATCGAACTTTGCTGTCACACGCTTCATGCCCAGAATTTCCCAAAAAATTTCATGTCATGATGATATCGATATGCCGACATCCTCAGCAACTTCTATTATAGTGATTCGACGATTCACCATAATAATGTTCTTTACTTCCTCAACATATTTCTCAGGTTTTGATGTTCTGGGGCGTCTAGGGCAAGCGTCGTTATCCACATCTTCTACACCTCCTGTGAAAATCTTCTACCACTCGTAAACCTTTTTCTGACGCAGAATACAATCACCGTATGCCACTGTCAACATTCCAAGTATTTTTGAGCACTCAATTTCATTTTCATCTACATTTTTTGGTAGCAGAAAATCAACGAACACTCAGAACTTTTATGCCCACCACCAATAAACTAAACATATAACATGCTAAACAGCTAAAACGGTGATCATATGTTGAAGACGAGTGTACCAACATAAAAATGTAAAATAATTTCATGAACATTCACTTAATTTTTGAACAGCTCACTATATAAAGACCAGTTTCCAGGTGGAGGAGATGGTGCCCTTCTTCGAGAATTGCTCAACGAAAACCCAAAGGAAGTGATAATGTTAGAAATAGACGAAGTTGTTATGACAGCATGTGCAATATACATGAGGTCAGTTTGTGGCAGTGTCTTAGATGAATATTCGGGAGATAATTATAAGGCAAGTCTCCCTAGAAATATTTAAGTATTAGTTCTTTGTTTCATTCAAAACTATGTTATCAATAAAGTAGAGGCAACGACATCTCCCCCTTCAACGATGTCATCTGGGGGATCGACAGAAGACCCAATCCTCGAACATCAAATATAAACAAGGCTTCTCAAAGCAATCAGTTGCAATGCCAAATTTATCCCCCTACGAAGATGTTATCTATGGGATCGACAGAAGACTCAATCCTCGAATAACCACGATAAACAAGGCTCCTTATGGCGATTAATTGCAAAGCCAAGCTTTGCCAGATAGATTTGTGATCCAACATAAGACAGCGTTGTTCAGACAAGTCTGAAAGTATAAGCGATGATATCACTCTCCGCTAGTATGCCATCTGTGCGATCGACAGCAGACTCAATTCTCGAATATCCAATATAAACTAGGCATTGAAATTCGAGGATTAAAGATAAACGAGGCTTCAATAGTCGATACTTTGTCGATCCTATAGATGGAATTTTCGTAGGAGAAGATATCATCGTCTTCACTTTCAGGCTTGTCATTTTTAAGAAAGTTCAGTTTTCAGTCTAGCACTACTGATTAGACCTGTCTTGTGTTGGAGCTGCTTTGCAGTGAAAGCTGTAGTGAAAGACAGAGGTCGAATCTCTTTCGGCGATTGACGTCGAAGACGTCTTTGGCTACTGATACCCCCAAGGAGCCTCTTGTATCTTTGATATTCGAGAATTGAATCTTCTGTTGATCACATAGATGGCATCTTCGTAGGTGGAGATGTCATTTCCATTACTTTCAGGCTTGTCCTCATTAGGACAGGTCAGTGGTTCAGCCTAGCACCATTGATGAGACCTGGTAAGTGGAAACAAGACTGTCTAGTGTTATCAACAATGACAATAATTGTAACTTTTTCTGCACGAAACTAGCATACTCTACTCCTTCAGCGGAATGATTGCGACTATTGTGAGTTACTAGCCATGTACAGAACTGCTTTTCATCTTGTTGTATTAACGTGTCTGCAGCGCCTTCTTGTTCTGTTGGGTTCTTTAATGTAGAATCTATAGGAGTAATCGTTCACGATAACTTTGAAATACTTATACACTCGTCCAATGTAAATGGTTACCTACTGAAATATTATTTTTCCAATCGCCACGTATGTGCTCCTTTCGAAACATCAATAACTATTAGAGGCGTTTTCTGGCGCTCATGTATTCAAAACGTATTCATCTGTGATTCAAATACATTCATTCTGTCGTTGAAACGATGATGTCACATCAACTATGATTTGAAACGTATCATCATATTTCAAAAATAGCGTGGGGTTGGTTTTGAAACGGAATTTGACATTACGATACGTCAGTTGTCAGTTTCTGCTTTATTTTGATCATTATAGTTCATAAAGTGCTGAAAACTTTTCATCAAATACGTTGTAAGGATGTACAGAACCCCAGGCATCGATGTTCTCCAAGAAGATACATGTCTCCGAACCGGATATAATAATGTCAAGTCGGACAATTCCGCTTTCTGCTTCGATAAGTTTGTTGGGGGTTAAAATGGACACCAATATGTCTTGGCACAATCATGTCGCTGGAATTGCAAGGGCTGCTTCTCGAAAGCTTAAAACACTGTTCCGAACCAGAAAACTAAGTATACACACCTCAGCAACTTTTGATGCTTTATAAAGCTTAGAACAGACCTTTTTTGGAGTATTGTTCTCATGTACAGAGCTCTGCCCCCAAACATACCCTGAAGTTGCTGGATTCCATCTAGAAAAGCGACATCCGCCTGATTGGAGACGCGAACATTGCGAGATGCGACATTGATAGCCTGGAACATCGAAGAAAGTTTGGAGATATGTCTCTCTTCTATATATACTTTCACGGGAGGTGTTCAAGTGACTTGGCACATTTGATTCTACCAAGAGGGGTACATATCAGAAATACGCGACGGACTGTGCCTGCTCATCGTTTTCAGGTTCAGCTCGGTACACCTCGAACTTCACTATTAAAGAAGTCTTTCATCTGGAGAACTGCGTTTATGTGGAATAAACTTCCTGAGAACGTTTTTCCAAATGGATTCAACCTCCAGTGATTCAAATCCAATGTGAATCGCTACTTTCGCACAGACACCGATCTGAGAGCGCCTTAAAGATTTTCGGCTGAATTATACTGTATGGGATACTCACGTATTTTCGCGATTTTTTCTGGGATGATATTACATGATGGTAGGAATTCATAACACTTTTTATTTTTTGTCGGACTTAATTAGTTTTCGAGATATAGGTAACCTGTTGAAGTTTGTATGACGTCATATTTTACCTTTTTTTAAAACACAACTTTTTCCATATCATCGCACCTTTTTCTATCCCTTTTCAATCACGTATTGCCGAGTTTCCTGAAATTAGAATAAAATTCCATAATTTGTCAGGTGCACACAAATCACTTTTTATAAATTGCATTAAGTTTCACTATTTGAAAATACGTTTCTTTTAGAATTCGGAGGTCAGGTTAGATGTTGAGGAAAGATAGTTTTTACAAAAGTTAATATTCGAAAATACGTTCCTTTTAGAATTTGGAGGACAGGTTAGAATAGTTTTTTTAAATTCTTAAGTAAGGTTAGACTGAGTTAGGTTAGGTCGGTTACGATTAAACTACAGAAAACACCTTAGATGTGGTATTCTGTTGAACCACAAAGAGCGCGACATCTAGTTTTGACAATTCGAATGTAAAACTCAAGGAAAATACCAATTAATGATTACTATAATGAACTGTAGTCAAAAATATTCGTATTCGTTCGCACAATTGTCAAGTCTGCTTGTGAATCCAAAAAGTATTATTCGGTGAGATAGTGTGATAATTATGTAACAGAATCACAAATATTTATTTACCACATACTTTATTTTTCCTTGACACCCTTTCGTTCATTAATCAAGTGTTATCAATTGTTCGAATTTTTTTAGATTGGTTGATATTAATTGACCTATTCAAAAAACACTGCATTGTAAAATTTTCACCTAAACAGTTTTACAAAAACGCTTAAGAAACCATTGCATGGCGAAACTCGTGTTGCGTTTTTGTAAAACTGTTTAGTGGAAATCTCACAATGAAATATTTTTTAAACACGTTATTTATGGATTTTCATCAAGTATAAGCCAATTCCATCATAATGTTGATTGATTACTTATTTTAGAATTCAGTTATAATAATAACAATCCACATCAATCTGCACGATGCAGATGCTACCAATGAATAAAAATGACTACACTAGTGGAATCATAACTAATTCAGTTGAATCATTTACATTATAGAACCAGCAGTGGAAAGACGATAGTACAGTATAATAATTGCATTCATTATCAATACTATATAATATACACTGCGAATGCCAAATTACCTCTCCCCTCCTGATTTTTGGACGGGACAAGATATCAAGGTATCACAAAATTCACGTCAAAAGCATAATTTTTATTTTTTTTCTTCATAACAATACAATAGCATGCCATCACTTGACGCAAAAAAGGGGCTATTATTATTTGTTTAATAAAAAAGAGGTCTTATTATCACTCAAACTAGCAGTTTCTAAGTAATTGGGTTAAAGAATTTACAAATGAACGATAAATACCATAATTTCAATATTCGAATAGCATTTCAGGTTATCTCTGTCTGTCTACCTTTCCAGCGGTTCAAATAATTGCCATTTAGCTACTCATAGAGCAACCGATCACAATGTGAAGGTGACTCATCTTTCATAAACGTAATATTTTTCGTATTTTTCAATTTTCTTACAACTATATGGGTCCAATACGGTTGAACGATTGACGGTCTGATAATAGGTACGTTAAATTATCCTCAGATACTATCCTATTCTTTCTATTATCAAACAGACCGAAAACTTACTGTATAATCCCCATAGCACCGTCCATGCGGATGCCCTTATTTATATCAAAAGATATGCGCAAAGAGAAAATGTTTAAAAATTTTCAGGATTGTCATAATCAAACGCATAAAATAATCATTAAAATTATCGAAACAACAATTCACTACGTTTATGAAATAGACTTAACTGTATAAATAATTTTTTCTTGGACACATAGATTTTTAGCCTTAAACAGATGCTATTCTTTTCTCCAAAAACATTTGGTGAAAAATTATCAATTGGATATGAAAGTACTTCTGAAATTTCAAATTGGAAATGCGAGTAATATGCAACGCCTGATTTATGCATAAATAATCTACCCAAGTCTCAAAAAACTTTATTTCACCGAAAAATAAAGTGTGACTTTAAAAAAAAAGTTACTCCCTGCGTAGTCTCTAAATTGACATGTATTTGCATACACAATCATATATTTTTAAGGAAAGTATAATCTATTTGGACGTAGCAATTTATATGGAGTTATACCTATAATTGTGTGAGAAATAATTCCATATTATGAATAATCTAATCCATTACTTGATGGAAAATAATAATACCTACCATTCATGATAATCATTATAAAATTTTCACAATTGATTTTATTCGAAGAGGGTTTCGCTACAACATAACTTCATCAGTTACTGGTACCAGAGAAACGCGTTCAAAATAAAATTTATTGGGAAAATTATTTAATCATCATCATGAATGAATTATTTCATGCTTTTGAGTCAGTTTTGGAAGCATCGCATATTATATTATTAATTTGCTTATTATAATGATTACCTGTTTGGATTTCTTCCGTTTGTATCTATTTTCAGAATAATTCTGCTCTGTTCATTTCCTTGAGTTGATAAAACATATTTGTTTATTATAGATAATAGTTGGAGATTGTTTGATATTTTTGGATCAGTACTTTAAAGAAGATAGAAAATTTGACTACATTTTTGGTGACTTGACTGACGTTCCTATTTCGAAGAAACACTCTGAACTTTGGACTTTCATCAACAAAGTTTTGAAGCTGTCTTTCAAGATATTGAAACCTGATGGCAAGTTCATGACTCACGTGAGGAAATATAAATGTAGGGTATATTTTTCAAATATTGATGAATACTTTCTCTTTCAGTTGATTGGTTCTTCCTGCATAGAATCTATAGAAACATTTAAATCTCTCTTGAAGCAGCTTGAACCGCCTGTCAAATTCACGACTTCAGAAGCCTTCGTTCCATCATTTATGGAAAAGTGGATGTTTTTCCAAGCTTATTTTGACAAAAACAAACTAGAATAGCGTTTTTTTCAGAAGAAGTTCTGTTTCATTTCATATTGTTCCATGTCAACTCAAAGAAAGATTCACAAATGAATTTGGACTGAAATTGAATAAAAATCATAAGAAAATAGTGTCTTGATAATCTTGAACTCGCAATATGCACTGTAAGGCTGTTTATAAACAGGATTCAGGTTTACCAATGGGCTCACCCCTTAGTCCACTTTTAACAATATTTATGAACATCTTGGAAACCACTATACTAAATAATTCTGACCTGGATAAAAAACATATTCATTTTTGGTACAGATATGTAGACGATATTCTCGCCTGTTTCAGAGCTACTACCCGACAGCTGAACCAATTTATGACATTCATGAATAATCTCAATATCAACATTCAGTTCACACTGGAAACAGAGATAGAGAAACAGATAAATTTTTCAGACCTGACCATTACACACAATCAAAATAAATTTGAGTTCACTGTTTTCAGAAAACCTAGCTATACAAAAATTACCATCCCAAGTGATTCTTTCCATCCGGACAGTCATAAATTATCAGCCTACAATTCAATGTTGCACAGAGCATTCTCACTGCCTGTGTCTACTAACAATCTAGCTAGAGACATTGATGTAATTACACAGATAGGCCATAATAATGGTTTTAACGCAGATACAATCCAGAAGTTAGTCCGAAAACAAAGCCGTAAATTCACTTACAGATTAAACAATCCAGATCAAACAATCAGAAATCAAGAAATGGGTAACTCTAACATATTTTGGTAAAAGAGATAATTGCGGGTTTCGTCTGTGGTGTTATATAAGGGCTAATGTAATCAATCATTGTTAGTTCAATGTATAACTTTGAAAATGTTCTTATAGGATGAAACTGCAGTAGCGTTAGTTACAAATAAAAGTGGTTAAAAACAGAAAGTTTGAGGTGCTGTGTCTCTATTCACTGTAAGTATTAATGTGACATCGAGACTGGTTTGGGGAAGTCGTGAGGAACGGAGCTGGCGAACAGGAATAAATTGATTATGAACTGGAGTCAAGAACGCTCAGGTATCATGAGAAACGAAAACACTGAGAGTGTACCCCACATGGATCTCCAACTCCATAAATAGGCCCTGACCCAGCTCTAAGGGTAAGAAAATCTTTGAAGCGGAGCCAGATTGATGATGATACCGTCTGAGAATAGATCCGAAACAGCTTGAACTGTTCTGAGCCGGGAGGCTCAGAACAGTTCAACAGCAGAACAGGCAAGTATAAGGTCACTCACTGAAAACTGTTAAGAGTACACCTATACATAGGGCTGTACAACGGAGACCTCAGCAGCAGGTAATGCAACAAAGGGACAGAGACAGCTCGTCACATTTTATGCATAGGAGAGGATTTGGATCACAAGAGCCAAACAATTCACATAAATTGTTTGGCTCTTGTTGTCCATACAACCCATGTTGTGTCCAGAGAAATATGAGAATGGTTCAGCAAGATATCAATACACAGAACAGAAGCCTGCAGTGTTTTTCGGATACTTGGAAGAAATTGACTAGTTAAACAGTTCCCAGAAAACGATAAAAAATGTAATTGCGCTTGTTACTATAAATTTTGAATCTCATTCATCAAGTTATAAGATTTTTGAATTCCATTACCAATGGGTGGATAATTTACGTGAAAATAAATGAATATGAAGGAGGCGCTGTTATGAGTTTTATGTTATAACATGACTCCAAAGGGGCAACGAGTGAGAAACATTATAATGCCTGAAATATAAATTATTATTGTTATCATCATTATTTCATCGAAGGGAAAGCTGGTCCTGTCCTCGAATCTCCGACACGGTCGCGAGGGTGCGCAGGTATTATCAACCAATGACGACTCCTGTCACCATGGGTTAAGTGATCATTGGGTCCGAGAATCATGTTTTTTAAGCAGGCGCGATGAGCCAAGAAGGACAGCTTTCTGCATCCATTCGGTCAAGATTTCTGCCTCAGGGCAGCAAGTTGGTATGATCTTGAGATTCGAAAGTAGAGAGGACATCATTCAATCAAAGAATCAGAACAACCATCTCAACAGAGTGGTCTGGGTAGAATCTGCGGGGTTCCAAGAGAAAATATCGATATTTTATCCGTTTTTTTTTTTCTTTTCGGACGATATTCGTCTCACCGGAAGCTGAAAACCGTACAACAAATATTGTCTTGCTAAGATGGTCGAGAACAACTACATCAGGTTTAATAGCTTGTATAAGCCCGAGGGTGGAGAATGAATTGTTTCAGTAAATTTGGCACTTCTCAATCCCTACAAAAAATTCGATATTTCCCGGATCAATGACTTCACACTCTCCATCGAGTAACATTCTGTCATGTAGACACCAAAGTTTACGACCTCACTGTTGTTGAGGGTATTACAACCGTGGAACGGACGATTTGGAATACAAACTCCTATAGAAATTCATCATTTTTAGGGTCTTTACGACGAATTGATACCACCTTCTCACGGGTCCAATTCACGGATCCAATTCAAACGGGTAGAGTGAAATTCGAACGGCACGCATATTCGTAGCAACGACTTTGTTCTTCTCCAACATTCCCGATGACCAGATATGTCGGAGTTTGTGCTGATACTTGCCGCGGAGAGAGTTCTTTACAGCTGTTATCTCTTATGAGTGGCGGTTTTCCACCCAGAGGTGGCCTCGATTTTCCTCCATTCAAATAGTCTCCGCATCGTCCTCTTTTGAAATGGATCGTTACACATTTGTCTATCCCATATTTCATACCGATTGAATGCGTGTACTCTTCCACCACCCTCAAGGATTGATGAATATCTTTTTTTGTAGGGGCATAAAGTTTAGGATAATCCCTATAAAAAAATGGTTGACCTTATGCCTCCCATTTCCGGGGTTGCCACAATTAAACCCTCGAGTAATTCTGAGCGCAACGGATAATGGCAACAGTGAGATGCAGTAATGAAGGGGGGCTGAGAGAATCGCCCTGGAATATACCCTTTCTGAAAGCGACCCAACCTGTTTGAACTCTGATCTGACCAAATGTTATGGTGAAGCCAGTCCGCTGCTTATTATTATTATTTTCCCCAAGATTGCGATGATCGGGCCCCATCTCACAAAGCCCGATACAATCGAGCATTATAAACCAATGACCACTCTCCACACCGCGGGCTAGGTGATCATTGGGTCCAAGAATCGAGTGCCTTAAGCAAGCGCAGTGAGCTAAGAATGACAGCCTTCCGCATTTGTCTGGCTAAGATTTCTGTCTTAGTTCAGAGAGCCGGCCTGATCTTGAGATTAGAGAGTAGAGAGGGCAGCATTCCACTGAGGACTCCATTAATCAAAACAACCTTCTTGACAAAGTGGTTTCGAGAGAGTATGTGAAGTTCGAAGAAAGAAATCTTGGTTTTTTATCAGTTTTTTATCATATTTTCGGATAAATTCGGCTCACCTGGAGCTAAAATCTCCATGATTTTTCTAAGGCCTTTGACCGTGTGTGGCATGAGTGTTTGCTGGCCAAACTTTGAAGCTATGGCTTGTCGGATCATTTTTGTGTATGACTCTTCAGCCTTCTGAAAGAACGTTTCCTGCAAGTGGTCGTCGATGGATATCTCTCGAATACTTTTACCATCAACGCTAGTGTTTCCCAGGGATCTATATTGTCTCCAACTTTTTTTTATTGTATATCAACGACTCATTGGAAAAAACCAAGAATCCAATATATTTATTATTATTATTATTCAAGTGACTTGGCACATTTGATTCCACCAAGACTGGTACATATCAGAAATACCCGACAGACTGTGGCTGCTCATCGTTTTGAGGTTCAACTCAGTACTCCTCGAACTTCACTGTTCAAGAATTCTTTCACTCTCTGAGAACGTTTTTCCAAATGGATTTAATCTCCAGCAATTCAAAGTCAATGTAAATCACTATTTTTGCACAGACACCGCTCTTAGAGCGCCTTAAGAATTTTTGTGTGGTGCTTGTGTTTTGTCCTTGAAAAAAAATATCGTTTTGCTCTGGTGGTCGAGAAAAACTATATCAGGCTCATTAGTTTGTATGAGCCTAAGGGTGGGAAATGAGTAGATCCAATAAATTAGGCACCTCTCGTTCCCCATAACGGATTCAATATCTCCCAAAGCGTAGGTCAACAGAGCTGTCTCATCTTTACCGTAACAGTGACGTAGCTAGTAATGAAGCACTCTTAGGGCCGCGTTTTGTCGATGGATAAGTATAAGCTGAGTCCGCATATGCTGGACATGCTTACAGCGAGTGCATTTTAGAATCTCAGGCGTTTCGCGACAAACCCGAAACCCCTTACATGGAACCTCCAAACCCATCACGCGACTAGGGTTGGAGTGAAGTGATCTCTCCACCATTCATTATTACCATTGTTATTGTTATTTTTATTTTAACTAAAAGTTGATCAGGTACCCGACCCTGTACCCGAAGCTGCGACACATTCGGAAGGACGCGTAAGCATCATCAACCAACGACCACTCCTATAATTGTGGAGAGTGAGTCATTGGGTCCGAGTCAGGTACCCTCATTATTATTATTATCATTTTGTTTTCGTGAAAACATTGTTCAAATACTCGTATCAATAGATACGTTCGAAATCATCATTCACGAAATGAAGAATCAGAACTTTATATACCAAATATTTTTTTAATTTTTATATGGAAGTATGAAAGTAAGTCTTCTTCATGAATAGATTATTGAAACTTGAAAATTTTAGACTTGAAAAAAAACCTAATATATATGATATGCCAGACAACTTTCTCCCGAGTGTTTTAATTCAATGAATTACTTGAATTCTTTCCCAATAAACTGAATATTGAGAGACTGTCACCAGGTAATACACACACGTATGNTATTGACGGAATCAATAATTAACAATTCGCTTCATTATTGAAAACCTTTTTTAACAATGTTATCAAATCTGAAAGCTCTTATTATGTTATGTAATAGAAGGCACACTGGTTAAATGCGCCTGACTAATGAAGCAACGACGCAACGAACATACAAATGGAAGAAGAATAAAAAAAAAAATCGTAACCTCAAAAATCGATTTTCAGGTGTTTGATGTTTGCCTTTGATTTGTTTGTTGTTTTTCATTTCTTCTGAGTGAATATGTTTCTTTTTATGGTGTTACTCAATTTCCTTTCTCTGTGAATTGAAATTATGGATGAAGTCACGATGTTTAGTATAAATGATGGTGATCAGCAGGTCATAACTTCCCAGCCTGAATCTTTCAAAAAGTACTATAGTTAAACATATCTAAAAAACAGTTTTATGACTGAAATAAATGTTTTTTAGATTCATTTTGAGTGAGGATGGAGAATTGATAGAATGTAAGCCAGGAAAATCAATGCCAATGATTGATTTAGATTCGCATGATATCATAAGTGGTGATAGTAATGAAACTTCTAATAATAATGGGAATCTGAACATGGGAAACTTAGAAGATCCCGTCCAATTTGGTTAGTGGGTGAAGTTAATTTTTTCACAAGTTACAATATATTTGTTTTCAGGTTTAATGAATTCTTTTGATGAGGTGTCCGAATTTGAGGAAAATCTAATGAATGAGTTGGACTCAGACTTTTTGAATATGGTACCCAATCACACATCACAATACATCCAGCAGTATATGAATATACAGGAACCCCTTACAACATTACGAAAGTTGATAGAAAACCGTTTGGGAGTGGGTTTACAGGGATACATTTTTGCTCTTCAAGGTCTGCAGATAGTGAGTACATTTGAAAGTACAATTTTTTTATTCAAAACAGAGGCATACTCCTGCATTCTAAATAAGTATGTGTAGTTTTTCGTGTGATAATGCAATTGACAGTGTTTGGAAAAATAAAATCACAAGATATAAACTTATTTTATAGAACATGGCAAATAAATTCCCTTATACCATGAAGTGAAACAAAACCTATACTTTAGAAACTTCATTGTTAATGATCACTTTTTTAAATTGAAGCAAGGAAGCAATCGATTTAAAAAAGTAACTTTATACAAACATTTGTAGATCATGCAAAGAAGTAACTTTCAGACACAAAAGGGAAAAAAAAAGCCCTCTTGAAACAGCTACTTCCATACAAACATTGAATTACACAAAAGAAAAATACTTTCGAAACTTTTATTTCAACACTGATTTATAAAAAAAAAACACTTTTCCCTATTCAATTTGTGTGTTTGGAATACATAAATTAAATGTGTTAGTATTCAATCCGCACTAGGTAGAGGTGGTTGTATTGCAATCCGCACAATTTAATGGGCTATCAGGTCATTTCAGCCCTTCAAATCTCCTGGAGAGGATGGTGTATTTTCAGCTCTTCTTCAATAGGACTGGAAATAATTTGACCCATTCTCATAAAATTGTATAGGGCTAGTATTGCGTGGAACTACATACTACCCAGTTGGTTGGCAGTAAGGGGGTATATATACCTGAAGTGGGTTGGAAAGACCCACATCCCAAATCTGTATGACCAATCACCCTTACGTCCTGCCTGTTGAAAGGACTTGAAAGGATACTGAACGGACATATCAGGAAGGTTGCTTTATATGTAGTCCTCCTGAATAATCACCAGTATTCATATCAAACCAACAAATCGACAGATTTAGCATCTAACAAACTTGTAAAGAAAATTTCCCATTCCCTTGACAACAAGGAAATTGCAGTTGCTGTATTTCTCAGAAAAGCCATAGAATTGACCATAACCAGATGGATCTATGCCATGTTGGTAAACGGAACTGCAACTATAACTCTTCAAGGCGAGGCGCACTACCACCGCGACCAATTCCACAACTACAAGCTTATACAGATGACTTTGTCGTCTTGGTAAGGTTCACGTCGGGAAGGGTAGCGTGTAATATCCTCCAAAGTATGATGGACGTGGTTCACAGTTGCTGCCAGAGGGAGCAGATGTTTGCCAACCCCAGCAAAACTGTGTTAATTCCCTTCACCAAGGACGCTCATTTGGAGAAAGTTTTACACAAATACAGTAGAAAACGGCTCGGGCGAAGCTCTCTGGCTTACAGAGACAGGCTATCTGTGGTGTCATCAGTTTCACACCGTCAGCGGCCATGGAAATCCTTCTAGAACTACCTCCTCTCCACATTTTTCTGAAGAGAGAGGCTAGATGGACTACATATAGACTTGTTCACATCGCCAATTGCACGAGGCAATATAATGCAGAGTACACTAGACTGCTGGCTGACACTAAAAGTCGCAGCATTCTGGGAATAATCTCTGACATTATGTCTCCAACTGTCAACTACAAACTGCCTTATACAGTACTTATCCCGAGTAGAGAGAATTGAATCTTCCAGGAGAAGTAAATATTAAGAGAAGATAATTGTTGGTTTACAGATGGATCAAAAACACCTTCAGGCTCTGGTGCAGGTATTTTCAGTTGCAGACCCACAACGGAGATATTAACCTACCTAGGGACCTACGCGACTGTATTTCAAGTGGAAATCTATGCTAATGAATTGTGTGCGGAGAGATTGGAAGAATCCAACCTCATTTACAAGTCAATAAAAATATTTTCGGACAGTCATGCAACGTAGAAAGCTTTTGGCTCCTATCGAGCAACGTCTTAATAGGTAGAAAATTGCCAAAAACAACTCTCCTCAATAGAAAACCTTACCATATTGTCTCTAGCTCCCCATATTAACTAATCGGCTTCGTCAAGAAGCTGGGTTTATTTGGTCGAGTTTGAATATGTGTGAGCCACAATAAATCCTTGCTGATTGCGGTGGAGGGTCGAATAGGCCCACTCACTTTTGACTTAACCCAGTGTTTCTCAATCTGTGGGTCGCGACCCCTAGGGGGGTTGCGGAGCCTTACTCGGGGGGTCGCCGGCAAAAGAAAAAAAGGGAAGGTTCTACATGGTTCACTACAGTAAAACAAAATTATAGTGTGAAGGATGAGCTTGTTTACTTTTCAAAAAAAAATCAAATCGTGGTGCTACTTTTGAAATATTTACAATCAAATCGTTTTCTAATTGAAGCCGATTTCTTTTTTTAGATTTAATTTCTACCATTGAAGAGAACGTCAGTTCACATAAGTATGAAGTGGCGAATGGCACTAATAAATTAAGGGCTTCCTTTGCGAGCTCAGGATATTCTTGTTTCCTTTTCATCCAAAACACGTCAACAGTTTGAGAACAAAATTCCATTTTAAGCATGCCGTCAGCAGCTAAATCTATAAGATTTTCTTTCACATTTGTAGTCAGATCAGCCAGTTCTATTGACTTATCCAAGAAAGGGTTTAGAATCCTTTCAGCTTCAGAGTGCAAGTCTGGAAAATATGTTAATAGTTTCTCTTGCAGATTATGTAAGCTCTGTATCAGGCAGGGAATGTGAGTTCCGACTACAAGCGATTGATCTGTTGCATTATCTTTAATAGTTTTCTGAAGGCATGGAAATGACTCAAATATACTGTTTTGCAGAGAGGTTAACCATAAATGAAGTTTTACATGAAATGCTTTCACTTTATCTTTAGCTGTTAAAATATTTTCATGTCTACCTTGAGATTCTCATTCAAATTATTGGGATGATTAAAAAAATCTGCCAGAAATGATAATTTTAAGAGCCAAACACGGTCAGAAAAGTGATTAGCATATTCAGATTTGGCATCTTGTAAGAACATTAGCAATTCAGCTTGAAGTTCTAGAACTCCTGTCAACACCTTTCCTATGAATAGCCACCTGACCTATGTGTGATAAAGAAGATTGTGATGAAGCACACCCATATCTTCACAAAGGATTTGAAATAGTCGTGTTTGTAAGGCCTTACCCTTGATAGAATTCACAATTCTGATGACCTCTTTAAGCAAGTCATTTAAATCAGATGTTAAAACCTTAGCAGCTAGAGCTTGTCTAAATAAACTCGGCTTGAGTTCGAACGCTTAAGCGCTGACTTTAATATTACTACAACACTATGTGAAAGCTATTTTATTACCTGAATCATAGTATTTTGCTGCTGGTTAAGAGCTTTCAACTTTTGTTCAAAGAAATCCAACGGTTTATCAGCTTCTTTTTGATGCTTGGTTGTGAGATGTTGTATAAGCTTTGACGGTTTCATACTCTCACGTCACAAAACATAGCCACAAATTACACATTGAGGTTTACTATTTAGGACTGTAAACCCGTATTTCAAGTAATTGTCATCATATTGTCTATTTTTTTCGGGTGTGATTCACCTCCACTACTGGCACTCGTACCAGATATTGAAGGCTGCGATCTTTCAAGAAACTTATCCATTTTGAAGCGCGCGTAGGAAGTAAAAATGGAAAACAATCACGTTCGTACTGATCGGTGACGCTCAGTCAACTAATTATTGCTGAGGTTTGGTAAGTCGAGAATGGTCGAGTCGAGATAAAAGAACGTAATTGCGCAGGCGGTGGCGGCTGGTGCGGGGCGCTCCACCCCCTTCACCCGCAAAAACAACGCGTTAGGCCTTACCTCGTAATTTACTGTACATTTATTTTTTATTTTAATAAATAAAGAAATAAAGGAAGTCATAAATTTAGTCTATAATTATTTGACATTTTTTTGTCTTTCTATTGCCCAAGGGGATCGCCGGGATTTTTCAGCCTGGAAAGGGGTCGTATATTTAAAAAGTTTAAAAAACACTGACTTAACCTAACCTAAGAGCAAGCATTGTCATTATTGAATTTGATACTACCTCCAATTGGTTATTTTCATAGATTTTAAATTTGTTTGTAGGCCTAAACAACGTAAACTCAATCAAGGTTGCTTCATTGAGGTTCAGATTTAGATGGTTTTTGTCGGCCAATATTATCACTTTGTCATGATATATTGTCCCTGTTGTTTACTTTACTATTACATTACTTTGACGAGTAATGCTGATGTTTATATCATCAGCATATAGGTACAGTGATGTGTAATTCTGTGAGACTGTGAAGATGATTTATCAGGTCAGTTGCATATATTGAAATGAGTACTAGACCAAATGAAGATCTCTATGGGATGCCTTGATTGATTACTGAGGACTCACTAAGAACATTTTTAATTTTAACTCTTTGTAACCTGCCTTCTAGATATGACATCATTCACAAGGTCACCTCTTGGACTCCATAATGTACAAAGGGTAACAGAGTTCATTTGCACATTTCTCAAGAAGATCATTCGGGATATGATATCATCTACTTGCATTAAAGCTTTTGAGGTCGTTTACCAACTTGAAATAATCTATTCGGATATCGGCTGAGAGAGTTAGAACAAAGTGTTATATTCTTTTTGGTAACTTGTTGATATTTGATTTGTGTGAAATGTTTATTAAAATTACACTGGTCAAAAAAATTTTAACCTTTTTTTGTCACATGAAAACTTATATCAAACTTTGAGTCTACTAGGGACACTAACCAATATTGTATCAATGAAAAAAAATTGACACAACAGGTTTTTGTCTTGACATCAAAGCATATATTTTGGTGAAAATTACAAAAATCATCTATACTCAGAGAAATTATTACTTACTGTACAATAAATATTTATGATTTTCGTGAATATTTTTCTTGTGTTAGGTTCCTCCTGAGTTTCCAACAATAATCTGCTAGCATTCCTGGGCTCCATTTCCATTGATAACGCTTCTCTATTAAGTAAATATCCTGATGGAATCTCTTCCCTTACATACGTATTTTTTAGGGCACATTATACCCCAAAGCTTTATCTGACATTATTAGTTCCTCTATTAAGTCTTTGTGTTTTCCGCTTTATAATTTCCTAGGAAATTTAGGACAACACTCACAAAACATTTCCAGGCGTTTTTTTCCTAGTCATTTAGTTCTCCTCTCAGAGCTCTTATCCTTCATAAGTTGTCGTATTTGTTAGCCTACAAATATTCTTCCTTCAATTTTCGCGTCGCTGAGTTTGGGGAATTTCTCTTACAGATATAAAAATCCACTGACATCTTTGCGCATAGCTTTTACAAATTTTTTCATCAGACCGAGGGCAACGGTGGTAAAAGTATGTCATCAGGGTTCACTATAAAGGCTTATTTTTAACATTTTTTCAGCCTGGAGTAAGTGACTCACGCTTGAGCCACATTTAATTTTATTAGTGACTTTTTCTGTCTCTGCTGTACCATTCGCAAATAAAACAGCAAAATTTTGTATAATCAACATATAGTCCAAGCAAATAATAAATAACTTTTAAATCGCCACAAATTTTCCAAGCGTGTTCACTGTATTTATTTTTTCAAGAAGAAATCTCATATTTTCGTAAGTCTCTTTCATATCAGAATCATGAGCAACCAGCACTGAAGGGAGTTCGTTTCTGTTATGGAGCAACACTACTTTCAAACTAGTTTTTGAGGAGTCACATTCTTCACTACATAAATATTATTACAATGGACTTTAGGAAAGTAAGGTTTTATTTTATCGTCACAATGTCGAAATCTAGACCCCAAAAACTCATCCTGTTTATTTAGACAAATTCAAATCAGTATTAAATCGTTTAAATCACTTTTTGTCAATAAGTGCGGTTCTTTGAAGTTTGCGGTTCATAACTTGGGTCACTATCTTCATATTCCTCATGCGAACAAGTTCTGCCGGACTGGAATCTCGACTTTCTGTTCGATTTGGAGGCTTTGGCACAAGCAGTTCGGCACTATGTAGGATGGGTCTGTTGGCCGAAGACAACTTTGGATACTGGATAGTATGTTTGGCCTTAGTTGTAATGCCTTTTATTTTTGTTCGACTCAAATAAAAGCCCAACCTAATAGGAGTCTCACACACGTTACACAACATTTATCTGGGACCCAGAATTTATCTTGATGCTGCACAGTAAATCCAAAATATTCTTAAAAGCACTGTTCAATTAGTGGGGTGAAATTTCGACGCTGGAATGTAAAAGCTGATTCTTCACACACATAACAAAACTGTCAGGGTTAGTAGAACACTTTCGTTGCATATTTGCGATGTACCTAACGAAAATAAAACGTATGTTAGCTGATGCAATAGCTATACAGCCGCCTAAATGACGTATATTAGTTCAGAAATGAATATATAGGTCACAAAGAAACTGGATGCGATTGAAACAAAATTATTATATATTTATAATGGGGGTAGGCCAACATAAACAAAATACATCACAAAGTTCATGTGACAAAAACACTGTTGACCTATGTTATTGGCCATGTTCAGATTCAATATTTCATTTTCACATTCAAAAATGACAATCTCAATGGATTAACTGTTTTGTTTCTGAATGTTAATAATTGCTTGCCACATAGTTTTCTATTTATTTTGTGACTTACTTATTTTAAGATCAATATTTCTGTGATTCTTTTGCTTCAGTTCATTTATGTATATTTGAGTAACCTACTTGCAGACATCTTTATAGTCTCTTACATATTCCGAATACATACTTACTATATTTTCAAGATTCGAAAGTTAGGAGGTGAGTTGGTGAGAATAATTTTTTTACGTTCTTAGGAACGTTTCTGAGAAAACGATGTTTCTATATAGAATTTGATCAAATTTGTGATATGCCTCATTTGAGCATATTTCATTGTCATTTTTTAACAATCTTTCAAAATTTGAAACAGTTTCAGCAGCTATCAACATAAATTCTCTAAATAGTATTGTGCCCACCCATAGAAATTGGGACTGATAATAAAAACCATATATACTTAACCTGTTTACCCATCATTTTGACTTCTGATGAGTTCTTGAAAACTATAGTTCAATACTTGTTCTTACTTTTATTTTATTTCAGTTGGAAGACGACAAAAATTTGGTTGAACAATGTGTTCAAGGAGAGGGTATAGTACAAGTCAATGTTCAAGTTCAAACCAATTTGAAGAGGATTAATATTGTCGATGTTTTAAAACCTGCTGAAGATTATGTTTATAAAGGTGAATATTTTATAGCTCATTATTGTTCTGCTTTCATGAAATGTGAGGGCAAGTAGACAGTAGATGTAATCCTAACAGATGAAAACAAAATAATTCAAACCTATTTTTCTCTGGAAAAGATGAAAATGTACAGAAAAAATCAAAAAATGATGTCCCTGAACAACCGCAGGCCAGTGAGCAACAAAACAAAGCAAAGACAAATAAAAATATAGCAGTGCAGTGGAAAGTTGATGATAACTACAAAAAGGAACAGAAAAGGTTGAACATTCCTTTAAATTCAAAAGAATGGTAGGTTTTTTTCCAATAGTCATAAAAAAAACTTGATTTGTAGGATTCGACAACTCAATTTCAAACCAAGAAGTAAGATTTTTGAATTTCATTTGACTTGGCACATTTGATTCCACCAAGACTGGTACATATCAGAAATACGCGACAGACTGTGGCTGCTCATCGTTTTGATGTTCAACTCAGTACTCCTCGAACTTCACTATTCAAGCATTCTTTCACTCTCTGAGAACGTTTCAATATCTCCCAGAGCGTAGGTCAACAGAGCTGTCTCATCTATACCGTAACAGTGACGTAGCTAGTAATGAAGCACTCTTAAGGCCGCGTTTTGTCGATGGATAAGTATAGGCTGAGTCCGCATATGCTGGACATGCTTACAGCGAGTGCATTAGAATCGCAGGCGTTTCGCGACAAACCCGAAACCCCTTACCTGGAACCTCCAAACCCATCACGCGACTAGGGTTGGAGTGAAGTGATCTCTCCACCATTCATTATTACCAATGTTATTGTTATTTTTATTTTAACTAAAGGTTGATCAGGTACCCGACCCTGTACCCGAAGATGCGACACATTCGGAAGGACGCGTAAGCATCATCAACCAACGACCACTCCTAAAATTGTGGAGAGTGAGTCATTGGGTCCGAGTCAGGTACCCTNGAGTAGTAGAAAGCCAACAACTTTCTTTCCCAAACCTAATTATATTTATGTTTCAAACTAATTGATTTCATCTACTTGAGTGTGTTTGAGCTCCTGAATTATAAATAAAGCAATACAGAAGCTATGATTGAATTGCAAAAATTAATTCTTCGTTGAGGTAAAGTTTGAAACCCTTACTTTTTCATTAATTTCGTTTGTAATAGATATGAAAATTCACTGGTAAGTATGTTCTTTTGTCTGATTCTGATACAACAAGGTGAAAGTAAACCATCGAAACCCCAATTTTTATTAAATTCACCTAACATTCGGTTCTCATAATTTGAGAATTGACCTTATTAAATGATGTGACCCCATGGTTGCTAACTGCGGTAAAATAATGACATTTGACATTTGCTAATAAGTAAATAACCTTTCTTTCGGAGTTCTTTCTGCATTTTTCTTTTTGGTAAATGAGAAACTGATTTCAAGAATTTGTCTGAAAATAGATTTCCAGTCGTTGTATATGAAGTTGGGGCTCCAGAATGAAGAATCAGCTATGAAGAGATATAAAATGGTCTGTCCCAAAAATGAAAATACAGAAGGAAATCAGAAAGATAGGTTATTTATCCATTAGCAAATGTCAAATTGTTAAATGTCATTATTTTACCGTAGTTGGCAACTATGAGGTCGCATCACTTAATAAGGTCAATTGATGCGTAAACAGTAATTATCCCTGAAAAGATACAACATTGCCAAGTTGTTTTGGCGCTTGGCTAAGCTACGTTTATTGTTCTGTGGTGCATACCGCAAACATTTAAGCTTGGATTGAGCCTTAAGCAGGCTTTCGCAGAGAAAACGGCGAATACCGACATAAGTCTACCAAAATGCCATCCTATAATATCCCTCATAATCTGTGAACATTTATTACAAATTCCTCATGGTCTCATTTTTCTCAAGTCAATCTGCGCAGCAGGATGCTTCTTGGTCTTTCTTAGCTGATGCAACCTTTTTTCCTGACAATATTGACGGAATCAATAATTAACAATTCGCTTCATTATTGAAAACCTTTTTTTAACAAAGTTATCAAATCTGAAAGCTCTTATTATGTTATGTAATAGAAGGCACACTGGTTAAATGCGCCAGACTAAAGAAGCAACGACGCAACGAACATACAAATGGAAGAAGAATAAAAAAAAAAATCGTAACCTCAAAAATCGATTTTCAGGTGTTTGGTGTTTGCCTTTGACTTGTTTGTTGTTGTTCATTTCTTCTGAGTGAATATGTTTCTTTTTATGATGTTACTCAATTTCCTTTTTCTATGAATTGAAATTATGGATGAAGTCACGATGTTTAGTGTAAATGATGTTGATCAGCAGGTCATAACCTCCCAGACTGAATCTTTCAAAAAGTACTATAGTTAAACATATCTAAAAAACAGTTTTATGACTGAAATAATTGTTTTTTAGATTCATTTTGAGTGAGGATGTAGAATTGATAGAATGTAAGCCAGGAAAATCAATGCCAATGATTGATTTAGATTCAAATGATATCATAAGTGGTGATAGTAATGAAACTTCTAATAATAATGGAAATCTGAACATGGGAAATTTAGAAGATCCCGCCCAATTTGGTTAGTGGGTGAAGTTAATTTTTTCACAAGTTACAATATATTTGTTTTCAGGTTTAATGAATTCTTTTGATGAGGTGTCCGAATTTGTCTGCCTGTTGAAAGGACTTGAAAGGATACTGAACGGACATATCAGGAAGGTTGCTTTATATGTAGCCCTCCTGAATAATCACCAGTATGCATATCAAACCAACAAATCGACAGATTTAGCATCTAACAAACTTGTAGAGAAAATTTCCCATTCCCTTGACAACAAGGAAATTGCAGTTGCTGTATTCCTCAGTATTGAAGGAGCATTTGACAATGCACTACCTAAATCTATAGGATCAACCTTGGCTGGAAAAGCCATAGAATTGACCATAACCGGATGGATCTATGCCATGTTGGTAAACAGAACTGCAACTATGACTCTTCAAGGCGAGGCCATTAGGTTCAGGGTCAACAGGAACTGCCCTGATCGTGGTGGCTCCTGATTGATAGTTTGCTTGTTGCCCTTGTTAGAAGAGAAGTTTAAAAAATTTGTTTAAAATCTGTTTTTCCGTTAATCAGCTGTCGCCCCCATACGAACGAAAACTCTTAGAATTTGAGAAACTTGTGCGAGCTAAGGACTAATGAGGTCTTACCTTTGAACAAGTGATTCCTAACACGGTTGCAGAATCATCCCAGCTTCAACCAGATAAATTCTCTCGAGAAAAATATCTGGTCGAGGCGGGAATCGAACCCACTGCCTTCCGATCGTGAGTCGGGCGCACTACCACCGCGGCCAATTCCACAACTACAAGCTTATATAGATGACTGTCGTCTTGGTAAGGTTCACGTCGGGAAGGGTAGCGTGTAATATCCTCCAAAGTATGTTCACAGTTGGTGCCAGAGGGAGCAGATGTTTGCCAACCCCAGCAAAACTGTGTTAATTCCCTTCACCAAGGACGCTCATTTGGAGAAAGTTTTACACAAATACAGAAATATCTCATACAACCATGTTCAACTACGTATTAGCGAAACTATTGTATGCAGACATACGTCTTTAATATTGCCAGATGCGTCTTTTTGTGCTGAGTATGCCTATCGTTAAAACTCAAAAGTACGTTAAGTTGAGTTACAACCTTGTTCGTTGGGGGTGTCGAAGTGATCATCTTCAAGAGGAAGATTCATCTGTTCAAACAGATATAGCTCCAGTAATATTCACTAATTTCATTTGTGTTTTCATAGATTTCGAACCATAGTAGAATCATACTAGACAAAGGAAGCCCGAAATAATTGAATTCATGGTGATTGATATTATCAAAAAGTTAATATGAGTTTTAAAAAAAAATTCAACTTTCACATTGCGAAAGTTAGTTTAATTATATTATTTTAAATACAGACCTGCTGAACTATACATTTTTTCTTGAATATTTCAATCTATGAACCTGATCTCTTACACTTTGAACAATTTATGAAAATCTATTATATTTAATAAAAAGTTACTACTTGCATTAGGAAGACAATTTTTTTCTGTAAAGATCTTTTATCTATATTTTTACTTATTGAGCATTATCTGGTTCTCAAAATTAGATTTTGCATTCACAAACGTAAAATTCAATTCAGAACTGTTGAGAAACTTTGAACGAGAAATTGACAAAAAAAACTGTTAATGCATCTGATAAGGTAAAATAGGCTCATGTCCAGAAACTGTCCGGTAATACCCAACACCAAGTTCGTATAAGTATAACTATTGTTTGCAGATATTCAGGCAATTGTTCAATATTTCTTAATTTTTGACATTCAATCTAAACATCAACAGTTAAATTAGGTAGAAAAATTGCTATTTATTTCCAGGAATACACTTCATGTAAGGCACTGGATACAATGGGCAGTGCGTCAATTCAATTTAACAGATATCAAACTTAGTGATTGGACGATGGATGGAAAACATTTAAATAAGTTGACAATACAAGACTTTCAGAAACTTGTCCCAAATGATCCAGAAGATGTATTCTGGACTCATTTAGAACTCCTGAGAAAAAACAATGTTATCGGTAAATTTAAATTGATTATCTTACTATACCAGGACTAAATTCATTATTTTCCAGCAACAAGATTGGAAGATACTCCTACAAAAACATTACCGAAAGTGGTAAAATTGAGTAGGGTGAGTTTGCAGCTTTTGGAAAATCATATACTTAGATACCATAGCATATTGCATAATAACTGAAGTTTCTTTTACCGAGTGTAAAGTTCATAGTTAGAATACTAGAGATTCAATTACTCCAATCATACATCCTTATTGGTGATTCATTGGCTATTGATTACTCATAGTGTAATTGCAACTCCCATTTTTAATAATATGTTGGGAGATGAATCAAGTTGAAATTAATGACTTTTAACTGTGTTGTTATTATTCAGAGACAATGGGCCCATCCATTTCTCTTCTTTGAGACTATAATTGTAAGAGAATCTACGAAACGTTTACTAAATATTATACCAATTATTAAAGAAGTTTTTGGTAAATGGTGATCTATGACAGAACTAACTTTCTGTTCTATATGCATATTAAGATGAATATTCAAACAGAATATAAATAATAAACACCACTAATTTCAGCGTGATTTATGTATTACTCCCAACTCAATGCATTACGACCAATGAGTAGAGGTCCATCGTTTTGTATAACATAGATTTTGAGGTCATAAGGATTACCTTCAAATAATGGTTTAAATATCATACCTAAATTATCCCTCAAACATGAATCATTATTATTCAAAGAAATGTTTTTGAAATATTTCAAATATAAATTTTCTGAAATAGCAGATTATGCAAAACTGGAATTCATTTCGAAGTTGATAGGAATGTTTTCTATAATTATAAATCTAAAGAAATGAACTTTGAATGTTCAAGCCAGTCTCAGATATACCTACACAGTAAGTTGAATGGACTGACGCCTATCAGAAAACAACTACTCCACTGGCTAATACCACGAACGGCGTTGGATTATATCCGACAGGCGTCAGTGCACGAATCTTCACAGAACATTTCCTGCATATGCAATTGGCAATACAACTGAAAGAGTCGACCTTCAATTTTGGAACGGGCACAATTACAGACCGGTTTTGGGCTCCTTAGCCTTCAAAGAGGAAAATTAAAACTTCTTCTTTGAAGATGATCACTTGGTGATCGAAACAAGTGCCTAGGTGTTGAAAATAACGATTTGGTGTTGGGAAAAAACTCCAGCAATATTCATTACTACACCAAAGGTTCCAAACAGTGCATCACAAGAACATTGTAAAAATTTGTAACTGTAAAATTTAAATCCTCATTATTCAGTATTTCCAAATCCCAGTAAATGTTGAGCAAAAAATTATTCATGCCCTTATAATCTCCATTTATGAAATGATAAAAGTATTCATCATATTTTAGATATTCGTTTGTATCATTTTTTTTATCAAAACAAACTGCTGAATAATGTAATGTATTTTGAAAAATTGGGTCTGATGGATTTTGAACAGACATATTAATGAGTGATGAGAATATTAAATCTAAGTAAACATTTCTTGAATTTGTAATATTATTGATTTGATATAAATTATGAAAACTGAATAAGTGTGACCCGTCTTTCTAATGTATTACCAATAGGTGTGTTCGATTTTAAAAATATGGTGCTGTACGAGCTGATGCAAATTTGACATTACGTGATCACAGAGTCAACAGAGCGAAATATATTTAACAAAGGCATTTTTTTCCACGCTCTTGAGAATATTGAACACAGAGTAGATTAAATGAGGCAACAGATCTGTATTATTGAACCTTACCGAGCAATAAGAGGTAATGAAGCACTTAGATTTGTATTTAATGAACACACACTATTTCTGGTATTTGAAAATTTTTAAATGAACCACGTTTCCAGATGTATCATTCAAAAATCAAGAAGTATATGAATTTCAGATGAAAATATACTTCCTTTGGATATGTTTTGGGAATCAGCCCTAGTCCCTGTCTCAAAAAAAACACACTGTTGTATAAATGTCAAATTCAATGTCCTTCGAAATTGAATAAGTTTTCCACATAGACAGTACACTGGATGTTGATATTTTTACTTGGTATGAAATTTTCCTGTTCAGCTTCCTTTATCAGAAAAAGCCATGTTTGACCTAAATTGATTTGAGCATGATGCCATATTATCATTTCCATTCATAATTATACCTTGTCATTTGTATTAGTTTTTATTTTGTTTCTTAGAACTCTGTCCTTAGAATTTTGGCACTGTCCCAATTTATCGTATCCAGAAAAGAGTCATCCGCCAGAAAGACCAGAGAAGTAGGATATCACATTTGAAGAAATTAGCTGTTATTGTGGTTGTTCTCATGTTTTTAGTTGTTGGTGTTGTGATAATAGTTGTAGTTGTTGTTTGGTTTTATTTTATCTTCCGTAAAATTATGTTTTTAGCAATTCTTTTAAATTTCTTTGTTGTACGTCACCTAGAAATAACTTTATTTTTAAAGTTAAGGAAAACATTTTCTAGGTAACAACCAAAAAGGAAATGAAGATTCTCAATTACTCTACAGCTGTTCGATATTTTGACCAAGGACCCTGTACCAGTAGTGGTAACAAAAGTAGCCATAATGGGCAGATACAGTTGTGGCAATTTCTGCTGGAACTTCTTATAACACGAGAATATGGAAATGTCATTCAGTGGATTGGTAAGATATTTGTTTTCTAATATTTGTAAGTAATTACATTTTATTACAATAGATTTCTCTGATCTGATCCAACATAACATACATTATTATAGCATCCGCCATGAATTTACATTATGAATGTTTTGGTAAAAATTGTAAAAAAGAATTAAACTTAGTTACAGATATGTAACTAAGTTACAGATATCATATGCAGAGACTTGGACTGTCGAAAGACAGTGTGTGTCGCCTCTGTCTGAAAAATAATGAAACAGCAGAGCATATACTTTTTGCCTGCCCCGCTGGGGACCGAATCAGGTTCTTTGAGTTCGGCTGATCTGTACTCTCACCATCTGACTTGAAAGACCACTCACCATACAAACTAATCGGCTTCGTTAAGAAGCTGGGTTTATTTGGCCGAGTGTGAATAGGTGTGAGCCACAATAAACCCTTGTGGGTTGCGGTGGAGGGTCGAATAGACCCACTCGCTTTAGACCTACCAGTCCAGTTAATTTAGCTAATAACCTCGGAATGAGAGGTAATAAGCTAATTATTTGTATTTACCTTTATTATGGCGTTCTAAAAGCTGTCTCACAAGTCTCATATAATCTCGTGTCTGTATCGGAGAATATACGAGATCAAAGGTAAAAAAAAAACAGTTTTTCATGGTTATCTCAGTTTCTATTGCTCCAATGATGTTAACAACTATTATAAACATTGTAAAGCATAAAATTTGCTTTACAATTTGCTTCAAATTTTATTTGAACTTTTTTTTCATGTGCTCAATCGTTTTTGAGATAGAGGGCGGTAAACGCGCAGCATGCCAACTGTAATCGAAGGTCAACCGTGAATATCTGTGAATATTACCTTCAATTTTGAATATTGTATTATTTATCAGTTGATATATTATATTTAACAACATTTTACAATTCACATATATTAATTTAATAATACTTACCTACTTTGTGTAATTAAAAACTCATTATGAAATAATTATTGTACATTTTAATGTATTGAAAATACATTT